AGAAATCAACAATATTGATCATCAAGCTAATAAGTCCAAACAAGGACTTAACAACAAGATGAAAATACAAAGTCAACAACAAAACAATATATCTTCATATTCTTTGCCACCAAATCCAAACAAATTCAAAGGGCTAAATGATCAAAAAGTGCCATTTGAGACAAAGGCATTGCATTTTATTAGCAAAGCTATAAAAGGTGATTATGGACTTAATGACTTTAGGATAAATAATGAGAAATTGTTACAACCAATTAATAAGTCATCAAAAGTTATTGTTGATCAAGAAGATGAAAATCAATTCCATCAACAAGTTAGAACATTTGGAGAAAGGATTTCAAGGAAAAGCGGGATGATCAAGACTCCTTCACCTCTCAGAGAACCAAGAAATCCAACACCTAGAGTAAGTCTTTTATTTATTTTTATTACGATTTTAAATATATTTGGTACGACAGAAGTCATTTTTGCATATAATATTGATTTAAGATGAGTTTGATGGAGTATTTATATATAGCCGATTCAATACTTGGGTAACATAGTTTTACCAACAAAAAAAACACTTTATTAAATAAATACAAGACATCTACTTATATTTTGACTATAGACCACCTATTCTATTGAGTCGCTCTTTATTTTCTCGCATTTTTCTAGAATATAGCTTTTATCACTCCCACCCCCCACCCCCCCTTTTTTTTTTCAAGATTTGTATAATGTTCTTTCTTCAAACTGCTTTTACTTGAACCAAGGGTAAAAAAAAAAACGTTTCTACCTCCACACGATAGGAGTAAGGTCTGCATACTCTCTACCATCCACAGACTCCACTTGTGGGATTACATTGAATATGTTGTTGTTTATTTGTATAATTTTCTTTTTTTTTATTATTGTTTTCAGAGAGAAAGAAATGCAGATATACCCAAATTTATGTCCACTCCAATACATGAACTTCAACCAAAAATCATGCAAAGTCCAATTCCAACAGAAGAAGACACAATTCATAGATGGCCACCAAATAAATTATCAGAAAACATCATGAAATGTTTGGTGTTCATTTTTATAAGGTTGCTTAGAACAACACGTGCAATGGAGTTGGAAAAATCAGGCCCAATTGCTAGTAGATCAAGCAATTTTTCATTGAGTTTTAGGGCCCATATTGAGCCCAATTCAAAAAATAATGGTACAACAAGCCTTTTGATCCAACAAAAAGATTCAAGACAACAAGATCCATATGGTATTTTTGATTCAGAAGAGTCCATTCCAAGAGATATTGGGCCTTACAAAAATTTGGTTAGATTTGCATCAACATCTATGGAGCCCAAATGCATCTCAAATTCTAACTCTATTCCTCTATTTCAAAAGCTCAAGTATGTCCTCAAAACCCTAATTTGAATATTTTATGTGTTATTATTAGATTCTACTACATGTTCGTTGAGAAGAGTTTAACTTTTATAAATTGATAGTCCGTCTGATTTAGCTGATTGAAAGTAGTTGTATTGATAGGTATCAACTATCTAGTAATAAAAATGATCACTTATGTGTTTGGATAGAAGTGATGAACCTGATAATAAGCAATTCCTGCATCTGTATATGAAGATGATGATAAACAAATTTTTTTTGGTTAAAATGATGAAATGTCCATAGAATTATTTATGGAAAATGTAAATTTAGAAGTACTTGAATGTAAAAGGTGAAGAATGACAAAAAAAAATAGAGAGATGATTAGGAGTTATTATGTTTTAGGAGAGATATATATTAGGGATAAAATTGTAAAAGGCTTAATCAAATCAAAATTATTTATAAGATACTTATGATTTTAATTTTGATTGATTTTGACTTATAAACACTCGACTTATATATTAGCTTATAATTAACCAACCATAAATAATATCGATTTTACAATTCTTTACACTATCCACACATAAATTAATTTGTAACATATTGTTGATTCGCTTCTCTTCTTAATGTTAGGAGTAATATTTTGTTGTATTAAAGGACAGTTCGATGTACTAAACACTAATATTTTTTTGTATTCACGTAACGTCGGGGAAGGTCTGCACCCCTAATTAAGGGGTGTGATGTAGGGTACAATTTATAGCTAATTTCACAGCTCAAACCAGTAACTTAATTAGATTATATGAAAATAATTTTATCACGCTCCGAGACTTCTCCTTCTAATATTTTCTTATATTGTTCTTGAAAATTGTGCAGGCTTATGATGAACAGTCTACAAAATGTAGATTTAGGATTGCTGAATTATCAACAGAAATTAGCATTCTGGATCAACATGTACAACGCTTGTATCATGCATGTACATTGGATTTAATTTTATTTATTTTATAAAATTTATTTCCTTTATAAATCTCAATATTCAAACCTAATTAAAATCATATTATATTTTTTTTTAATTATAATTCCAGGGATTTCTTCAACATGGACTTCCTTCTAGTTCTACTCCAGAAAAGTTGTTGTCACTTATGAATAAGGTTCTTACTTTGTTCGTCTCAAATTATCTGTCGTAATTTTTAAATACAAATATCTCGATTCGAATTAATTTTTCTAATATTTATTTCAGGCAACTCTGAATATTGGTGGAAATACAATAAATGCACATGCAATTGAACATTTTATCTTGAGAAAACCAGTAAATTCACTAGCAAAAGAGGTAATTAATTAAATACCTATTACTTCTCTTATTAAATTATTATTTTTTTCAAACATTTCTTGAATATAATTTTTCTTACAGTTATTATAATATGATTAATTAATTAGGTGAATCGAAAAGGTGAAAAGAATGATAAAGAAAATATAGTACGTGAGCTGCATGGACTTGAGTCATTTGATCCAAATGTTATGTTTGCCTTATGTTGTGGCACACGTTCTTCTCCAGCAGTAAGTCTATATATACTATGGAACGTTTTATGCATTGAACTGTCATTTTTTATTGTTGATACTAGTTTTTATAGTTTTAGTGAGTTTATCACATTACCGATTAAAAATCTAGATAAAGAAGAGTTGTAGTTGATTCATAGCCAGCATAAAGTTAAGAGAAATTATAATGAATTCAAACAATACTTGAATTTTATATAATATTAGACTTATCGATAGTTTGTCTAGCCAAGTTTTTAAGAAGTCAAGAGCATTTATTTTAGAGAGTTGAAATGCTTGGGCAGAAAAAATAGATGTTTTTGAGTAGAAACAAAAGTTGAAAAAAGTACTATTTTCTTTGAAAATTTGGTCAAATACAAAATGCTGCTCAAGAGTTTCAAATTGATTAGTAAAATGCAACATTCTACTTTGTAGAAGTATTATTTCAAAAATATTTTTAAAAATAAAATTTAGCTAAGCAAATTATGAAAAATGAGCTTAAATTGATGATCGATATAAAAGATTGAGGATTATCTCATATAACCTAACCAAATTAAACATGCCTCGGGTTGAGGTCTAGTAGTTGTTGTTTTTAATCCTTCATTGTACATAGTGCGATAATTCACAATTTTCTTAAATTTGGTGTTCAGTTAAATATCATGTATTACGAAAATCATGTTATAATACTACTTCCCTTTCTTTAATAAAATGTGAATGTTAACATGTTAATTTATTACAATTAATGAAAATAATTATGTAGGTGAAGATATACACAAGTGATGGAGTTATAGGTGAGTTAGAAAAATCAAAATTGGAATACTTACAAGCTTCATTAATTGTAACAAGCAACAAGAAGATAGCAATGCCAGAGCTTTTGCTAAGAAATATACATGATTTTGCTCAAGATTTGGATTCATTAGTAGAATGGATTTGTCAACAATTGCCTACATCTGGTTCATTGAGGAAATCTATTGTTGATTGCTTTAGAGGACTTCATAGTGGGAAAGCATCAACTATTGTTGAGAAAATACCATATGATTTCGAGTTTCAATATTTGTTATCTGTATAAAAGCATCTTGTATAAGTACAAAGTTTGAATCGATAGAAAACTTTTATTATTTCATGATTGTAAAATTTTCATTTCTGATACCTTTCAAAATTCCATTTTGAAAACTTACATAAATATTTTGAGAAGTGTATGCTATAATCAGCTCAACGTACAACAATGTGTTGAACTGCTTCGATCTTGAATTATGTATATGTGAATAACAATGAGTGGTGAAAAATAAAGTGATCACTTGTTTATAGTGTAATTTTGGAGATCCCTAAACATATTCTTGGTCATTTACTTACTTTCTTTTTGCCATTGTTGATTTAGATCCCATCATAGGGAAAATGTCTACCATATTTTTTCTTGAGAAAAATATCTTATGATTCTGAATTTTCCGTATTTATTATATGTACGTATATAAGTGTTTTGTACGTATGATTCTTCTTAAATTGATAAAAAACCTTTTCAATAAATAGTATAAATTCCATCGATTGTAGCTAGTGATTGCCCGGATCAGTGTGTGATCACTAAATGTGAAGTAACCCTTCAGATGCTCTCTCCATCCATGCCGAATACCCCCGACCATTCCATTTTCAAACTAATTTTTTTAAAGGAAAATTACGATCACAACAAATTCAAGATAATCTCATGAGTCTGAGAAGGATCAAATATACATAAACCTTATATTTTACCTTTATAGGGATGTAATGCTTATTTTCAAGACTTTTTGACTCAAAAAAATGTAACTGAACAAAAAGACAACATATATTAATGCACATTACAAAATATGACACTACGTCATACCATAATCTACTATCCTTTTATCATAATTCTCGACCTTTATTATCTATCAATCAACCACATATAAAAACAGAATTTCTTTATTTCCTTTTTAAGGTTGTACAATTTTCCAACCACTACCCTCCACGTGTTACCTTTTCCGGACCCCAACCCCACAATTCCAATTCGGTTCTTCACGTCACTTCACGTCCGTCTCCACTTCCTCTGTCACCAAAAAAATCAGCTCCCATTTCACTGAAACAGAGATACCACTTACATTCCCTTTTTTGCTTTTTTCAGTTACTTCCATTGCATTTAATGTGAAAAATTTCATCTGGGGTTTGTTTATTTTTTTATTTTTGGTCAAAAAATGAATCTTTTTTGGTTGAATCAGTGAAATGAAGGTATGATCAGAGACCCCTTTAGTTCTTTTCTGCTTTTTGTCTTGTGGGTATCTAGCAGTTGTGTATTTTTGTTGCATTTGCATGCATTTTATCAGAATTCTTGAATATTTTGCTTGTCCACGTTAATCTTTTAGTTTTGGTTGATTTTTATACCCTATTGGTTGTATAAGAAACATATATGATTTAGTAACAAGTTTAGTTTGTTTTCTTTTGTTGGTTTTTGCTTTTAATATACATTATTTGTTGTGTTTCGATTATCACACTATTTTATTGTTGTTAGTGTTTTTGAATAATGCTCTGTATTGCTTTCGTTATTTAGTTGACATGCTTTATTTGCTGTCATTTGATTTGGTGCACTTGAGCTGAGTGTCCATCATAAACAACCTCTCTACCTCGACGATGAGGTATGAGTAAGGTTAGTATACACTATGCCCTTCCGAGACATTACTTGTGAGATTACACTGGATATGTTGTTATTGTAGTTTGTTTTCATTTGTATTCCTGTTGGTGAAGTTTTAGTTCTTTCATATGACTTGTTGCTATCAAATCCTTTTTTTTTTTTTTTGAAAAATGTCATATATTGTGAGGCTCTGCTGTGCTGGGGTGTTTAGTCAATATGTTGTTCCATAATTTGTTGATTAGATGATTCCTTTTAGTTGATTATGAATTTTTCAATATTTTTTTGACATGTGCAGTTCTTTAATATACTTATTCCCCTTTTAAGTCATTTCTTAATGTGTTAGAAAAAGGAAACGAAGCTACGTGCATTACAGTCCTCCTTTAGCTGAGCTTTCAACACCAGAAATTGACCATGCTGAGGTTGGCATTTTTCTTGTTATGTTTCTGGTAGTTAAATTCTCAAGAATCTGTTAGGGAAATTTGGACAGACGAGTAAAATGCAAACTTCCATGGATTCGTTCGAGTACAACTGGAAGACACCAAATGAGAGTGCAAAGAGTTCTCAACGGGAGCCTGAACAGGTAGCTAAAAATTTCTGGAGGATGACTAGTTTAGTTACACTTGGTCCAATTAATCCTAAAACATCCTTACTGCTTTACTTCATTTACTTTGAGTCAAATTAGGGTAGAAGTCTAGTAGGTAGTTGAGTATTGTTTCACATATCCTCCCATACTAGTAGTCGTAGCATTACTCTTGCAATTCTTGTTCTTCGATTTCTATTACTGACTGTTATTTTTTGTCCTTTGATTACAGTGTTATTTTGTTCTCTTTTGTTATTTCTTTTCCCAGACTGCTTTGTTATGTTTTTACTTGAGCCGAGGGTCTATCGGAAATAACCTATTTACCTTCCAAGGTAGGGGTAAGGTCTGCGTACTTACTACCCTCCTCAGACCCCACTTGTGGAATTACACTGGGTATGTTGTTGTTGTACTTTGAGTATAAATACTTGAAGTATTTGGAACTTTTAAGCTTGACAATTTTAGTTGGTCAAGAATATTATGCGATTTTGATCAATAATCTTCGTTTAAATTATTTCGTTAACTAAACTGTTATGATATTTTTAGGTTGTAAGTGCTGCATCTATCTATTTTGCATCAGAGGAGGAAGCAATAGGAGTGGAACAATTATTTGCAGAACCCGAGTATGGCGATATAGTCGATACTCTTCTAGATTTTAACACATGTGCATGCAGTCTTCCAGAGAGCTACATTAAGGAGTTTACAGCTTCGGAGCCTGTTGTAACAAATAGTGATCGCGGTAATGGTCTTAACAACTTGAGCTATGTGAATCAGATGAGTTTCAAATTCCTACTAGTTTTGTCGATAACAAATGACATTTTGATTTTTGACCTTCCACCTAGATGCAGTTCAAAGAGGTCTTAGTGAAGAGGATAAAACAAGGGAGAAGGTATATACCCTTGTGAGCAGTCATAACTTGTTAATACTATATTCTAGAGTGTTTATGTGTTTTAATTTGTTCACAGTATTTCTGGTTTGTTTGTATTCAATGAGTTTAATCAGTTTTTTTTCGATCCTCTTCATTATTACTGATCATTTGTCGATACCCGGTTTTTGCAGTTTCTTGATGAATTGTCAAACGGATATAATGAAAATCATTGCAGCATTTCATGTGAAGATTATCTTTTGGGTAAGTAGTTGTTGTTTCTCCGCTATCATGCCAGTCTATGCTTTCCTTTTCTTCCTTTGTTTCTGTCCTAAGTAAATGTCTTTTAACTGATTAGTTAATTTTGGTCCTATTATTCTCGATTTATTAGATATTGAACTTGAGGAAGAGACTCCCACCCTTGATGTCACAAGAGATGTATCCTGTATAGGGAATATGAATTTGGAGAAAAAGCTAGCTGATTCAGAACAAAGAAATTGTGGTGTTCATGTGCTAAAGTTGTCTGATGCAAGTACCTCATCCGATCATGAGGCTTTAGACGAATATGAGGACATGTCAACTGATAAACTACTTGAGGTGTTCAGGAACATGTTTGGACATCAAACTTCAGTTGCGGATAAGCAATGGCTGGAATCCCACATGATATTTGGCTTGGAAAACCAGGAGATGTCAGACAAGAATTACAGTTTTCCAAAAAGCTCTCTTGATTCGAGTGAAAATCAAGGGGTTAAAGTCCCACCAGCTTGCCAGAATCTCCTTACAGTATCTACTGCCTTTGCTAGTATATTCAATTTCAGAACAAAGCCAAGGGTTCAACACGTGAAAAGGAGAGAACATATCCAATGGAATTCCTTCAAATGCTTATCTTCTGCAGCAGGTGAAATACAGCTCAATTTTCCGGATAAGTGGGATAGCAAGGAGTTGGCTAAAGAAAATGTAAAATGTGATGGAACGAAATTAGGAATATCTGAACAGAATCTGAAATGTAAACCTTCACGAGGAGGATTTGGTCGGCGATATTATCACAGAGGAGCCAAAGTATCATCACAAGGTCTTGGTAAAAGAAATTTTCAAGTTGGATGCATCCAAATTCCACCTGGTCTGCCCATTGAGGAACGACTTATCAGGAGGGAGGTTAGTGAACTACAAATAAAAAGGAGTTTCAGACTTTGTATTGACTTTTCATATTTTCTCCCAAGGAAGTTAACTTCTGCTGGGAATGTTCCTCGAAAACTGTTCACTTTATTTAGCATGTCTAGTCTCATATGCTAAATGTATTTGCTTAGGATTAAGTATCTCTCATCAATTCAATGTTTAATACTCATGTGGCGAGCATTTGATTTGCTTGAACATTTCATCCTTGTTGTGTCTGTTTCATGCTAGGATGACACAAAGCGTAAGCCATAAAGTTACATATCCACTTTTAGATGCTGTTCTTTCAGATTATTGCTACTTCTTTTGCTTATGTTTTCGCTGTCCACTTCAGGGACATTTATCCAAAGATTGCAGGGCTAACAGAGACTATAACAGCAACATCCGTTCAGCTGAGGCACAAGATGATCCTTCTGGCACTCTTTCTGATCAGTCTAGTGATAATTCATCTGAAGATGATTGGACTATAGGGAGCGAGACCCGAGGCACTAACCAAGACAGAAAACACAACAAGTATTGGTCAACAACTGAGGTCCTAAAGTTGGTGGAGGGTGTTTCCAAGTATGGTGTTGGCAGATGGAGTGACATAAAGAGGATGTTTTTCCAATCATCTGTGCATCGTAGTCCAGCTGATCTGAAGGTACTTGACCGTTTAGTAACATATAATTTTCTTCTTTCCATGTTTTTTGGTATGATCTTTTAGTCCCTTGCTTCTGTCAGGACAAATGGCGGAATCTTCTGAGGGCTAGCTGCCGACGATTGCAGAGCCGGAGAGGGGTATTTTATTCTTCCTATCAATTGAAAACCTCTAACCTGTCCCTTTTCGTTTTAATTTTAATTCAAAACACATCCTCTTTTATGTTTCTTTGCACATAATCATAGGATCATCAATTCATCATGTTGCAAAGCCACATCTAGTCTATCCCTTTTCATTTCAATATATGATTCTTGGAGTTAATGCTCTCTCTGACAAATAGAAGAGAATTCATGGAACAAATCCAGTTGTCTTGTCATAATTTAAGCTGTGATAATTCTATGTCACGGAGATAAGTATATGCGCCATCTGTTAGATTTACTACATCTTTTTTGTAGTCTTTTCTCATCCTCTGGATGTGGATTCCATTTCAAGGTTCAGGTTACAGGAGGAACAAATGTGACAGTACTGGTACTCGAAATTCTTGAATAGCGGAAAGTTTTATTAGAAGCTTTAGTGTGTAATGGAAGAAAGTTAATTGCCTAAAAGACTTGTAATCAAGTCATATATTACATTTTCAGCAGGTTTCATATTTAGCTGCACATATCAGGAGACACCTAAAGTTGACACCATCTTTCACTTAGACATCTTAACTAAGACATTTACCATTTAAACACATGTAGTAGGGCCCGACAAGTTGCCAAATCAGCATAAGTGTCAACATGACACAGTCGAGCCCTACTACAAGTGTTTAAATGGTACAAGTCTTACTAGAGATGCCTAAGTGTAAGATGTTGCCAACTTAGGTGTCTCCCGATGGGTTCAACCTTATTATTATGATGCAAAAACCATGTTGATATATCATACATGCCCATAAAAACTTGCTGCAGGTTGATGCCAAGAAGAAGCATGGCGTGTCCAGGATTCCTCACGAGGTCTTAAACCGTGTTCGAGAGCTTGCTGTCATCTATCCATATTCGAGGAAACATAGAACAAGAATCTCACCAACTGCATCCCTCGCCTCTTCTTCGAACGTGGAGTCTGATAGCCAGTTGTCTATGAATGAGTAGAACACATTGAATCTCACATATTAGATACTAAGCTACTTAGAAGGATCATTCATACCTGTGAAAAAAGATAGATACCTTTGAAAAGCAAAATTCTTAATAGTATATATTTTTGCTGGCAGTAACTAGTTCTAAATTTTGTACAAGTTCAAACTAGAGAACCAAATTTCTAACAGATTGTAATTACTTCTATTTTAGTTAACATCTTTTTGTCAGAAAATACCTATTGGTAACAAATAACAATATGTGCAAGACTTAAGAAAGGGGTCTCAGTTATCTTTTTTTTTTTTCTTTTTTTATTACATAATTTCATCTTTCCTTAACTTATTCTGTTCCAATGTCTATTATGGTCGGTCCATGAATTTTCCTTCCTTTTCTTTTGCTGCATTTCACTCGAAGTGTTGAAGGGAGAGGGGCAAACTTGATCCTCTTCCCTAGAGAACTCAGATGTGGAACTTTTTGTCATTCTTTAACACCCCACCTCATGCCTAGTGCTTAGCATCTGGTGCGTGGACAATTTTGATTTTGGGAGCCCTAACATCGGGTGAGACGGGCCCTGCTCTGATACCATGTTAAATTAGGTTTTATGCCTAACTACACCCCAAAAGCTAGCTCAAAGGGAGGAGGATTGCCCAAGTCTTATAAGGAGTCCACCCATCTCATTAACCACCGATGTGGGACTTTTGTCATTCTTTAACAGATACTTCCTCTTTGACAATCATATTAGTCATCTATGTGGAAATGCCTTTTCTAGGCCTATCCATATTCGTCTATGCCCTTGTTTAACTTGCACCTAAGGATTCAATCTTCCTTGAGGTTTTAGTGGGAGTTCCTTTTTTATGCTCATTCGCGAGTAGCTGAAGGGAAATTTGCTTGTTTTGATAGTTGGAAAAGGAGAATAATAACAATAATAATAATGATAATAATAAGTTGTTGGATGTAACTGACGTATTATTGTCCAACTAGTTTATTTACTTATTTTCTTCCTCAACTGTTATTTACTTACTAAAAATGATTTAATTTTAATTAGTTTCGAATCAGTAATAGATTTTTAATTAACAATCATAAAAGTCGGGAAATTACCATCAATAACCTTCAAAAATGACTAGTCTTAAACATTTGACCCCCGCTTGCTCCATGAACAAACCTTCACTATCAAAAGTCAAAAATAGCCTCCACATGGAAAAACTTAAAATTTATTTTAAGACGACTTATTTTCAAGATCATTCCCGTAATCACCCGCGTAAAAATGGTTATTTGTCTAATTCATCCAACAATTTTATCACCAGGCCCATAACAAAATAAAACAAGGCCCAAATCCCAAAGCCCAATCAGGTAAAAAGGGATTTTTGGTAATTAATGAAAGAGTAGGGATAGGAAGTAATTTCCTTCTTATACTATGTGATTTGCCTAATTTTTACTAAAATATACTTTCCATATATATTGAAGAAAAAAAACCCGATTTGAGATCTTGAAAGAGCAAATTAATTTTCAACTCTTTCAGAGCTCAAAAATGGCGAAATCAACTGCATTTTCCAGTTCTACATCGTTTTCCTCGATACCCATTTTCTTAATTATAGTATCCGTAACTGTGTTGTTATACGCATCAACAATTGTTGAAGCTGGAGATTCATCTGCTTTCGTCAAAAAGACGATTTCTTCTCACTCCATTGTTATCTTCTCCAAATCTTACTGCCCGTTAGTTTTTTTTCTCTCTCTCTTTAAGCTTTTTTTTATTTATTTTGTTGATGGGTTTTTAGCTTATTATCTGATTGTGTTTCATTTGTAATTTTGATGTCCCTTTTGTAATGCAGTTATAGCTTTTTTATCTGTTGTGGTTTTTGATTGTCAAATTGATATGATAAATTCCAAATTGAGTGATCCTTTTTTTATTGGTTTGAGTTACTCTACCAAAAGTGAGGATAAAGTTTGTGTCTTTGATGAATTTGAACAAAAAGTTACTCCCTCCGTCCATGACAATTTTACTATATTACCCTTATGAATATAATAAATTTAATGTTTTTTTGGAACTGACTATAGTTTATACTTTACAACAATATAAATCTCTTGATTTTCTAAACTGGAAGAGTTAAAGTGGACTAAGGGAGTATTGAAAAATATTGAAGCATGTAAGGAAGAAGCTTTTCTTATGAGGATTATAATGTGACAAAGAAGGTTGTAATACATTTTTCTGTATACTTTACGGAAAGATCTTGATTTTGGTGTTTATAGTTGAGTTAATTATTGGATGGATCGATGTAAAAATGTGGAACATTTTCCCCTTTTACAATGGTTTAGGCGTTTAGCTAGTTTGATTTGCTTTAGCTTGATACCTTCTTTTATTGAGTTGTCTTTAGCTTATTGATTGTAATAAGAATTGGTCTTTATGATAACGGATGTACTCTGATTGTTCTGTGAGGTTATAATTGAATCTTACGCCGTGGAAATCAAAGGAAAAGAAAGTATAAAACTGATTAATTTATTACATAAAAAAAGAAGAAGTTTGATTTACCTTGATCATGTTATGTCTAATCAAAGAGCCCAAGGATCTACCTTTCTCACACGATTATGAAAATTGAATTGAGGGGAGAGTTCTCAAGTCTTTGAAGAAAATGGTATGCTAAAAACATAGTGTTTGAGTTTTGAATTGCTCTAGTTTATGGTTCCATTGCTATTTCTCCATAAATTATATTGAAGAGTCATGCATCTAAAAGGAGGTACCTCGATGACGTTGGGGAGAATTGCATCTAAACTATGATCTGTGTCCAATATGCTCGATGCTTAAATTCTGAGGATATATCAGAGAAACAGTACTTTTACCTTCTGAATGCATCATTCAAAATGACGAACAGATTACATTTACAATTATGGGGACCTTTTCCCCAAGTGCTCATCATGTGCTCTTTTTCAATTCTAAAGTTATCACGTAAATTCTGTCTCGTTCATTTGCGAGACAGTAAATATGACTCACAATATTGATGAGGCAATACAACATGTATCCTGTTAGCCAGTGAAATCCATACCTTAACACCTATAAGAATGTTTGAGATTCAATAGATCAAAATCACTGACAACTAATATGGCTTATAGATTCATTAATTTTCCTATTCGAAACCTATTTGTACATATTCAACTTCTTAAAAGTATATATAATGACCTGGCATGCAAACACTATTTTATTTGTGTATGTTGTATTAACTGTTTGCATCAATTTTATATTGCTTTGCAGATACTGTAGGAAAGCAAAGGCTGTATTCAAAGAATTGAACCAAAAACCTCATGTCGTTGAGCTTGATGAGAGAGGTATCCTTCGTATGCCCCTAGTCTCAACCAAAAATTTTCCTTTATCTATCCCTACATGTTGTAAGGCAGGATTATAGCTGCCAACCTTCTAAGGTTTTCTCAACTGCCTACAATGGATTTCAGTAATCAAGTAAAATTGTAAGATACAAATGGATTACATCTTATTAGGCTTGCCATCGGCCAATCACATTTTCCACGATTTCTTGACAAGGTCAATTGGACTTGTCCAATTAAATAGAAACACTTCAAGTGAATTGAGACTTGGGGTGTGTTTGGTATGAAGGAAAATGTTCTCTTGAAAAACAAGTGGTTTTTTACTTATTTTCTAGTGTTTGGTAAGAAAACAAAATTAAAAAAAAACAAGTGCATTTATATGTAATCTGCCAAAACATTAGGGGGGTGGGATGGAGTGGGGGTTCGGGGGTGGGATGGTCAAGGGGTAGGGCTTTGGGGGTTGGGGATGAGACAATGAAATTGGAATGTCACTTAGGAATCCTACTTTATCAGGGAAGTCCTTTTTCTCATTTTTTAAGGAACTCATTTTCCTAGAGAAAATGTTTTCCAAAACAATTTGACCAACGAAACATGGGAAAATTGAAGAAAATGCTTTTCTCCGTACCGAACACCCTTAGAGAAATGCTATTGCATGCATTGTCACATGAAGACTGTTGGGAACCTTAATTTTACACGCAAATGTTCAGAGAGATGAAGTTTTGGTTGAATGCTGTAATTTCATGTCATATCAAAAGCCAATCATTTAAACCAGCTTATCACCCACAAGACCAAATTTCAGGCCATTTGTAGACCTTAAAATATTTTCAACATTATAGAGATTTATGGTAACCTGTAACCCATTACAAAGGTTATAGTGAGTATATATTCCACATGTATAATGGAATCCAAAAGGGTTTATATTACTTTTCCAAAAAAAAGAATATGGATTCAAAAGGGTTTATAAATGTCCTGAGCTTCCTCCTCTTGTTGATTTGAAGTTGCGGGTGCTTTGCAGGGAATGAGATACTGAATTGACAGGCAAGTAGGGAAAAGTAACACGTTTTCCCCAGAATATATACTAAACTAATTAATTGGACGGCAGCCATGTTATTTTCTCTTGCTTCTCTTTTGTTTGCTTTAAATTGAGGCTCTTTACCCGCCATGATGGGTGGGCTAACTTTTAGGTCTTTACTTCGAGCTTGTTTGGATTGGCTTATTTTAGGTGTTGTTAAGCCAAAATAGCTTTTAAGCAGTTTTATACTGTTTGGGTAAAATTTAAAACTGCTTATAAGCACTAGTTTTTAAGCTAAAATAACTTAAACAAGCGAAAAGCCAATCCAACCGGGCTCTTACTTCACTCAAGAAGGTTCTACACTTCGCTTAGTATTTACACCTAGCAACCCGCGCCCTTGAAACTTTGGAATGATCATAATGTCCTAAATTATCCAGCTTGTTGTTTCATAAATCTAACCATTCCAATTTGTCGAAGGCCCTTGTGGGCGTGAGTTCCCTTAGTTGGACCTAGGGTTTTTTTTGGGGGTGGGGGGGGTGGGGTGATTTACGCGTTGTTGACAAAGGCTCGTTTAAGGCATGTTTAAGTCCTGAAGCTCAGAACAGCTCGGTGAGGGCACTTTGTCTCACTTAAGCTGTGGTTCAGTGCAGGCAAGCATTAAGCAAGCACACTCATTGCTCATGAGTTCTATCTTGAATCGGTACCAAACGACAAATATAATTGGCAAATAAGTGTAGTAGTTGTTAAGGAAAACATTATCGTATGAATTTGTTACTTTTTTCTTGTTTTACATTAAATTTTGTATTTCTGCCTTTTTTTTTTTACTAAAGCCTGCACTTAAATTGCTCTTTATGCTTAAATCCCAATAGATCTGGAGTACTTTTTACAACTTTTCGCCTTTGACAATACTGCTTTGCAGCAATATCTATTTGAACTCAATGTAGAAGGTGAAGAGAATTGTTTTACAACAATAGATCATGTCTTTGATCAGAACCTTTAATCAAAATCTTGCTTTTTCCTCTTGTTAGATGATGGATGGAGCATCCAGGATGCCATTAGTGAGATCGTTGGCAGACGCACCGTGCCACAAGTGTTCATTAACGGAAAACATATCGGAGGATCAGATGGTAAGCTAACTCAAAGCATATCTTAGTGCTCTCTCTGCTGCCTCTGTATTAGTCATAACTCATAATCCTGTGCTTACAATATTATTTACTGTACAGATACCATCGAGGCGTATGAAAACGGGGATCTAGCTAAACTTCTTGGTGTTAAGTCTAAGAATGATGATCTTTAAGCTGAATTTGTTACATGGTTTCAATTCAATGACTCTGTAATATGATATATGATCACCATAGGTTTTTTTGCAGCCTTTGAGGGGGGGGGGGGGGGGTGTGGAGGTTGAAAAAGTTGGTGATTGTAATCTAATAGACTCTTTCTTAGCTAAGTTTTGGTTCTCTTCTTTTTGGATTTCCAAAAATTTGTAAGCATGAGCCTCTATTTAATAAGAACTTTAGGAGAAAGGACTTGTTATTGTAGGTACTATTATTTGTAAGCATTATCATTGCTCCTTTCATTTAAATTTGTTTGTCTGGTTTTGAATTGGCATGGAGTTAACGAAAGTAAAATAGACTTCTAAATTTTGTGGTCCACGAAGAAAGTTGCCAAAACAAAAAAAAAATACAAATAAATTGAAAAGGAGGAAGGATTTCTGGTTCTAAAAATTAGATATGATATAGCTTCATGTGAAAAATTAATAAAAAAAATTGTAGTTCACCCATTTGTGGTCGAACTACTCTAAAAGTTTTGTGATTTATTTTGGGATGAAACAAATTGAGTTAAATTCATTTGTGACAATTCGTCCATTTATAAGCAAAGTGTCTATTTTGATTTGTGTTTGTCAAAAAATATTTGTTTGTGGTCGAACTACCCTAAAAGTTTTGTGATTTATTTTGGGATGAAACAAATTGAGTTAAATTCATTTGTGACAATTCGTCCATTTATAAGCAAAGTGTCTATTTTGATTTGTGTTTGTCAAAAAATATCTGTTTTGAGACCGGACTCATAACTTAGGCAATTTAGGGGTCGGTTAATGTGAAGGATAACTCCAAATAGTCCTGAGATTAAATTATAGTGTCACTTAATTTGTTGTTTGGTTGACAAGTTTGGAATAACTTACCCTTGAGATCAATAATTAGTATCAGGATTAATTATACCTCCCCCTGTGTGATATAGTAATCCCAGGATACTTATCTAAAATAAAATCGGTAAATGACAAAGATATCTCTTTAAACCCTTTTTATACATTATTTTTCACATTCATAAAAGAATTTTTTGTCAACAAATAACTTATTCACATATTATATCAAATACAACAAATCAAACTCTCAATAAAATATTAATCTTAATATAACTTATCCTTAACCATTTACTCTCATCATAACCGTAAAAGGCGTTCTATTTTTCACGTGTAAAACACTACCTAAGGAAACACGTGGCAATTGTCTCGTGTCTTTTTTCTTTTTCCACAGTTTGGTTGTTAAGTCCAAATATTAGTTAGTTGTATGTATTCCTTCTAATTTTGCATCTCAATCCTTGTACTTTTCACAAACTAAATTTCAGTCTACAACTTTTTTTATTAGTAAAAAAACACACTTACTAATTTTGAGATCTTTAGAGATTACCGATGTCCTGGGATTGATATATATATATTTTGACACAAATAACCCCAACAAGCTAGAATTTGGTAATAACCATTCCTTCAACCACCGCACACCCAAAGGTATGATAGATCTTCAACGTCCACACATGACACATGTATGATGTATCCTAAAATCTGACGTTCCATCTTATAGAATATTCTCTTGACTCAATCAAATTTTTTTTTATATGTGTGTATTCTTACATTTTCTTCGTTTTTATTTACTGAGAAAAATAAAATAATAAATAAAAAAAGAATTAGCTCGTACAATAAAAATTAATAAATATTTATTGAAATAAGGAGAGAGCATTTCTATTTTGACGTAGAAAAAATATTACTTATTCTTGATTATTGAAATGTTTCAAACTTATGACCTCAATTATAGTTTCTCTCATTTTGTTTCCAACTAATATTAATAGGTATTTGGAAATATTATGCTTTCATTAAAATCTAGTCAAAATAGACAAAACATGATTTATGTGTTACATGTGTATATTGAATTTTCAAACTATATGACCTCAATTATTATTTCTCACTATCAATTTGAATTTTCATGAAGTAATAATACATTGCTTACATCCTTTACGTTGGTTGCTCCCATTTTATAATTATTATTTTTCCTTTTTTGCTATATAAAACTTGGAGTGGGAACACAAATTAATTTAATTAAACCCTCTATTTCTTTCACTCTTTTGTAACAAAATATAGAGTTTGTTATGTACTCACATTTAATTTATCACTTATTTTTCACAATTTTTATTTTGAGCCAAGAATTTATCAGAAATCGTCTTTTTATCTTACACAAAATAGGAATAAAATTTAAGTATAATCCCAATATAACCTAGTTTTGAACTAAAAGAACCCTTAGAAAACATCACAAAGCCAAACCCAATTATGTTCTAGGAGTGCAAATTCACTATTTTGGTGGACCAAAACTAATATAATCCAAAAACACAAGGGGTACAATAAAGAAAATTACCAGTCATTTTAGTCCATTAGCAAGTTTCTAGTAATTAAAAATTGACCACTAATTTTTCACTTAAATGTGTATGGCTGGCTACAAACAATACAATTCCAAAAAGATGCTGTACAAGTCTCATTTTGTCTGCATTCTCAGTTGCCTAATCTGTTAGGAAGAGTATATACAAGTAATTTCATTCTTCTCTTCCATTTTTTTCTGAAACCCCATTTTATTACAAGCTTTTTGAGACCTAATTCTTTGTGCTTCTCTTTGGATTCTTGAATTTGGTGAGTTGTGTTATGTTTTACTCAAGTTTTTCTTTTGTTGAAACCCCTTTTTGGATTTGAGGGAATTCTTGAAGAAAGTTTCAATCTTTTTTTGTTAAATTGATTTATGTGATCATGTTTCTAAGTAAGTTGTTGTAGTTTTTTGTTTGAGTTGCTCTGCTTAAATCTTGGTTTGTTTCTTTTTCTGTTATAGTAAGAGTTTAAATACTTCAGGTTTGTTCCAACAGGGAAGATATCAACTAGGTCCAAAAGGGATTTGAAAAAATATCCCTTTTTTTGGCTTGGGAGTGGGGTGGGGGGAGTGTCTGGGTAATTGAATTTTGGTGAATATTGAGAATTTATAGCTAGGCCCAACTAACTTGGGATTGAGCCATAGTAGTTGTAGTTATGAGTTTTTTTTGGGTTTTGTGTGTAGGTGAGGTGGGGGTGAGGGGGAGATGGGAGGATAGGTTTTCTCAGCTGCCTAACTGGATTTTGGTGAATATTGAGAATTTGTAAGTTCTTGATTCTTCTACTTGGTGAGTAGTGTTATCTTTAACTCCAGCTCTTCTTTTGTTCAGACCCCTTTTTGTATTGGAGGAAATTCTTGAAGAAAGTTTCAATTTTTTCTTTTGATTAAATTGATTTACATGATCATATTCCTAAGTAAGTTGTTGTAGTTTTGTGTTTTGGGCTGAGTTTTCTATTTGAATTGCCCTGCTCAAATCTTGGTTTATTTCATTTTCTGTTACTGTAAGAGTTCAAATACTTCAGTTTTATTCCAACAGGGAAAGATATCAATTGGGTCCATAAAGGATTTGGGAAAGATCTCTTTTTTTGCTTTTGTTTTGTGATAGCTAATGTATACTAGATGAATATTGGTTGTCTTATGTTTCAGGAGTGTAAAGATAGAGACTTGGGTCATCGATAAAAATGGCGGCAGGGGCTGTTCCAACTTCATTTACAGGCCTGAAGAGCAATGAAAATGTTTTGGGGTTCACTAAAAGTATGAATTTTGTTAGAGTTTCTGACTTACAGAGGGTTAAGTTTCGGCGAACCAAGGTTTCTGTGATAAGAAATGCAATTCCTGATCAAGAGACCATTGAACTTCAGCCTGCGTCCGAAGGGAGTCCACTACTAGGTAGGCACTACAGAGCTTCTAGTACTTTGCCTTTTAAACAGTGTGGATTATTTATCCTGTAGGAATCCTGTAGGAGACGTTTCACAAAAACTTAATTGGAATACGTTTGAAGTAACTTCTCTTAGATCTCCATGGATGCTACTTATAGGAAATTTAAATTTGGCATTTTAATATCTTCTTCTTTTTATTTAGTTATCCTGTGAAAGATCTTCGTTTTATATTTTGGAAGTAGAAGCAACACATTTATTTGTATTCATTCTCTGATGACTGATGTATGCTTCTTGATACAGTTCCTAGGCAAAAATATTGTGAATCCATATACAAAACTGTCAGAAGACAGACCTGCACTGTGATGGTTGGGAACGTGGCTCTTGGTAGCGAACATCCAATTAGAATTCAAACAATGACCACAACAGATACCAAAGATGTTGCTGCGACAGTAGAACAGGTTCTTCTTCTACTTCACAATTTAAGCGAGAGGTGGCAGTCTGCTATAACTGTATCTGCAATGAAATTTGTGTTAGTGCTGTATTGAAGCTGAGTTTACTTCTTTGGGTGTCCTCAGTTAATACTGTTTATTTTGAGTTTGTAACTTTACGAGCCGACCTTCTTTACTTATTTTTACCTACTTTTGGTTTGGGGGAAGGGACGAGGCTTGGGATAGAGGAGGGACAAGGAGAAGGGAAGGGGGGATGCTCTATGTGTAACCTTACCATTCTGTCATTCTCTGACCTTATCCGTTTTCTGTTTCGTGATGATTTTCTCGACTATGAATCTTCAGAGTGTTCCAATGTCCTAATTTATCTCGTCTGTGACAGTGTTTTCTTCTCATATCAGTAGTAAGATAATGGTGTTGGTTCCATGTGAATCAGTCATTGAATAGTGTTTTACTCTTTTCTTTCTAATTTTGGGCAACCTTTCTAAGTCCGCTATATATAGAACTTCATTCAGAATTGAATGCAACATATCACCACAAATGCTACTTTCTTTGATGGTGTGTAAATTTACTCCCATCTGTGTTCGGAATTTTACAGCAAGTTTTCTACTTAATCATAAATCAATTTCCAGCTCAAGAGGTGAACCTTTTTGTTTTCGAATTTCCAATAATTTGCATGTTGTATTTGCACATGCCTCTTTAATGAGCTTGAAACCTAAAGGACTAAAGAAGTCTAGCTATGATGCTAATTCATGTTTACTCAGGTGATGAAAATAGCTGATGCAGGAGCTGACATAGTTCGAATTACAGTACAAGGGAAGAAAGAAGCTGATGCATGTTTTGAAATTAAAAATACTCTGGTGCAAAAGAAGTATGTCTCATTTTTCATCAGTATATCTCAATATTTGATGGACTTGACGATATGAGCATATTTTATTCCATCAACGTTCTGTACATGCAGTTACAACATCCCTCTGGTGGCTGACATTCATTTTGCTCCTTCTGTTGCACTTCGAGTGGCGGAGTGCTTTGACAAAATACGTGTCAATCCTGGAAACTTTGGTATTTCATCCTCTGTCTACGTGATGGTCTTTTGG